ACGACACTAAATACCTCGGAAGTGGAATCGGCCAGCGTTTGTCCTTGTGTGACTGGTTTATTTCACTTGGCATAATGTCGTCAAGTTCATCCCTGTCGTGTCAGAACTTCCCTCTTTTTAAGACTGAACCATATTCCATGGGATGTATGCACCCCGTTTTGTTTATCCATTCGTCCACCACTGGAAATGTGGGTTATTTCCCGCTTTGGGCTGTTGTGAATAACGCTGCTGTGAACGTGGATGTCCAAGTATCTGAGTCCCCGCTTACATTGTTTTGGTTGAGTGGCTGGACCAAATGGTAACCCTATGTTTAATTTTTTGAGGCATCGCCATCCAGGTTTCCACGGCAGCTGCACCATTTATCTTCCCACCAGCAATGCCCAGGGTGTGAATTTCTGAGGGAGTGCATTTTCGCGTGTGAGAAAGAAATGGTACCTTCAGAACGGCATCTCAGAACAATGCCGCAACGTGCATTTGCTATGAAAAAGGTCCCTGTGAAATTTAAAAGAGCAATATTTATGAGATCTGCTTTGGTTTTCCGTTCTTTGCTTGGAAGGGCTTAGTATGAGCAGCATTAACATTAGAGTGACAGTGGCAGCATGGCAGGTAAAGGCTGACAACACCCTGCAATGTCAGTCTAATAAGTAGACCCCCAGAAGGCACCAGAGTGGTCGGGAAGATCAGGAGACATGAGGAGAGGGTCCCGAAGCTGACCTGCAAGCTGCTGAGCCCATTCAACTGGGAAAATACCTTCAGTGAACACAAGGAAAGGGCAGGGATGTGGACAGAGAACAACGAAGGGGGCACCTTTTACATGACAAGCAAAGAAATGGTAGTCAGCGCTGAGAAGAGGCCACTGGAAAGTTGCTTGGTTTATAAATATTAGGGACATGAAATTTGAGGGGAAAACACAGCAAAGCCTGTCAGAAATGGTTTCAAATAAACAAACCCAAGCACAAAACCCTAATTCAACCACTGAGTTTGCAGGCGAGGAGGGAACAGGCGTAGAGGATTAAAATATTCGTGTGAAAAAGAAGGGTACGTGGGGAGAAAGTCAAAACACCGTATTCTACCTCGTATTTATAGATACCCTATATTTTGCATGCTAGGTATGTTCCTAGCAGAGACAAGTTTCCTTTTGATTTAAGACATGCTGCTGGAAAGAGAGGGGATTGCTGGCTCATTCAGCAGTTGAGCAAATGTTTCTTAGATGCCTAGTATGTGCCCAGTTCTGGACTTGGGGGTTGGTGATCATGGAGATGGATACGGGATGGAGCCTGCCTCGAGCAGCCCGCAGGTGTGGTGGGCGAGGCAGACAGGTCAGTTAGGCAGACGTCCTCAATACACTGAGGCGAAGCAGCGCCAGGATGCTGTGCGTGGAGGGAGCATAGCAGGGGCTTCTCGGCTCTGGTACCCAGTGGCTCCCAGAAGGCTTTCTGAAGAAGAGGTCTGAATTGACGCTTGGGCCAAGGAGGAGTTAGCCCCCCAAAGAAGGAGGGAGGATGCAGGTGGAGCAGAAACTCCTTCTAGGAGGAAGGAAGTATTAGAGTCTGATTTGGTGGGGAGCTGATGGAGAAGGACAGGAGGTACTGGAAGCGACTGGCAGCTCCGTGGTGTTCCTAAACCATGGAGCTCAAGGCAGGGAACACCTGGGGATCATGCTAGGGAGAAAGATAAAAGCTACGCATTTTTCTCTCCCTCGTTCCTGTCTAAATCCATCCCATGTGAATCCCCCATCTCCCTACATGAGCACACCTTTTTTTTTTAGTAATCACAATTGTATTGTCAGAAAAGTCATGCATTTTTGCAATGAAAAACATAGAAAACATACATCATTACTTTTCCGACAATATATTCCAATAGTATATTTCATTGGGTGTTCCTTGTAAGTGGGCTCTTCTTTGGAGTTGGGGAAGCAGATTGAGATGAACAATAATTAGCCTCGTGCTCACATAGGTTTTGTTCTCCTTCTGCCACTGCCTGAAGTGGGCATTGTAGTTCATTCTCGGGCATCCATTTGGCCCCTAGTTGAGTAGCAGCAGTGTAGTTGGGGGACTCGACCTTAGCTGAAGGTCAGCCAATCTAAGGGCATTCCTATCTCCACTCCCAGTGTTTTAGTTCACTAATGGGCATATGATTCCCTTGGGTCTAGTGAGAAAAAAAATGAAAGTTTGGAGGACAAAGAACTGTGGTCAACCAAGGTGTTTCTATTACTAAATGAGAGCCAGAAGCTCATGGAACCAATAGGTGCCATGAGGGAACCCAGGCTTAGGACCAAGGTGATGTTATGGGAATCACAATGGAGAGATTAATATGTATATGTATATATATATATATATGTCAAAGCCCTTGAGGACTCTTGTTGAACTGGGAAATCAGCTACCTCTAAACTTTAGCATCCCTGGGGCTCCCTGTTCCAAAAGCTAATACATTTTCTTACTGTTTAATCCATTTGGGGTTTGTTCATTTGAAACCTGAGATCATCTGCATCCTAAATGGTATGTGATCTTTGTAACCTTCAGCAGACACCTGTATGACTTTTTGTGTCTATAACTCTTTCAGCCTCATTTCCCTTATCTGTGAAATGAATATCATTATGCCTCACAGTTTTTCATGAGGGTTTTTTTGAGATCCAGCACAAAGCCTGAGGGAGGAGCCGTGAAATAATATATGTCGAGTGCCTACTATGCACCATGAAATGGGCTGGTCCTTGGCTTTGGGAAGTTTAGGGACTAGAAGAGAAATTCACAGATAATTTCCATATAAAATGTTATAAAGTCACATGTATGGACCTTTGCACCATCCATTTAAGATCATTCAATATTTGTTGAATAGTTACTGTTCCAGTCACATGATCTAACGTGGAGTGGGACCAGGGGTGGGCATGAGGAAGGGGATTAAGGGAATGCACGTCCAAAGAAGTGTTCTCTAAGCCGAAACATGAAGGATGAGTGGGAATTCTGTGAAGAATGGGAAAGAACGTTTCAGGCAAAGAAACATGTACAGGGTCCAGGAGGTGTGAGAGAATTTGGTGTGTTTGAAGATGCATGTGGTCAGAGTGGAGTGAACGAAGGATAATGTGGTGGGAGATGAAGTTGGAAAGGGAAAAGGGGGATAGCTACTGAAGGGCCTTCTTCACCGTGTTAAAGATTTTTGAATACTCCAGGCGCAAAATGAAGCCACTCGAAAGTTTCTCATGATTTGATGTACACATTTTTAATGGGGTTTTGGGAGTTAGGTGAGGGAGAACCGTTGGGCTAGGCAAGCACCTGGAAGAGAAATGTGGGTACTTGGACCAGCGTGATGGCAGTGGAGGTGGAGGGGGGTGAATGTACTTGAGCAGCATTTGGGACATCGAGACTGGATCTGGTGAGAGATGGAGGGGATGTGGTGAATCATGGAGACAGTGATGTCAAGGATGACACTTGAGTTTCTGTGTGAGTAAGTGGGAGAGACTGGACAAGATGATTTTTTTTTCATAGAAAAGACAAGGTTTAGTTTTAAACATGTGAAGATTGAGATATTGGTGATACACTGAAATTGGGATGTTGAGTACCTGTTTGACTTACATCTGAACCTCATAAGAAAGGAATTTCTAGCATGGAGTTAAGATTTAAGAGTCACTGGCAGGTTGATTGTATCAAAAGTGATGAGTGGCTGGACCCTGTTAAGGAGGGTGCAGAGTGGGAAGACGAGGGACACATTAGCTCCCCTTCTCTGGGGAGCCTTCTCTCACCTCTCAGGTTGAGTAAAATATTCAGAAGCCCTGGTATACCGTAGAGGAAACCCCAACCTGGATGAGGAGCAGAGTGAAGGGAAGAACTTTTAGAATCATGGACGTTGGTTGCAAAGGAAGAAGGGGAGTGAGGGGAAAGCTGAGGGTGTTGGGTGAAAGGAATTTATCAGTGAAGTGGGGTCCTGCAGGGGAAGGATGGGATTTAAGGGTCTGGCTTGAAATTCGCCGCGGCCAAAGGGAAGGGAATAAAGATGGGAGTTTCGCTGCCTTTGAAGGATTGGGGGCACAGGGAAGTGAGACAACGTCCTAACAGAAACCTCAAAACACACATGTGCCATCTGCGTGCAGTACACACCCACAGTCCCCCCCACACACACACACACAGCCCTCGTGGCCATGAGGGTCATCTAGGTAGAATGTATGGTTCCCATAGTGTTCACTTCTAGTTCTTTGGTTATACTGGGCACATAGGAGGGGCTCAGTAAGTATTTGTTGAATGACTAAGTATCTCCAGAAAATGGGCTTTAGATTTCATTTGTGGGGCTGTCTGTCTTAAGAGGATGTGGTGAGTAAGATACAAAAAACCAGAAGCCACTCGGCTTAGCTCCCTGGAGCCTTCCACTCTGCTCTTGTCTTCTCTTCCAACGTAGCAGGAATAATGCTGGTTTCAAACCACTCGTTCTTTTGCCCTTTATCTATCTCTTCTATTGGATTGTGAGTTCTTTGAAGGTGACATCTGTCATATAGCCTGCATCCATGTTGCCAGGATCTAACGTAGGGATGGCATATCGTAAGTACTCAATAAGTATTTGCAGAATGAATGCAAGCGGGTGGACTTGAGTGGATGCTGGAAGAATAGAGACGATTCCGAAGGGGTGGGGCGGAGTGAGCACTTTTCTAGATAGAGGCAGAGACAGAAGCGGAACTGCAGGGCTTGGAATAATTGCACGTGTAGGAGGCAGCAACCAAGTTGCCTGAATTGGCATCCTCGTCTATAACGTGGGGATTTGTGATTTGCTCAGGGTCAAGCAGCTGGGAACTGATGGTTTCTGGAGGCTCATTCAGTCTTTCCGACCTCAGAGCTCAGGGTTTCCCGTTATGCCATGTTCCTTCCTCAGCAGGTCATATCCCATAGTGAGGACACTGCCTCTCACTTCGCAGGTGCCGTGTTGCTCCCCACGTCGGCCAGGTGAAACACTGTCTGCCTTCGACACCTTCCTTCCTATGATTGGTTTTCTGAGTTCTGTTCCTCTCTCTTTCCTAGCTCTCCACTGCGGTTTCAGTCCACGGGGTATTGATCGCCCTGCCTGTGCTGAAGGCATTAAATTGCAGATTGAAGGTGAAGGTGTTGAATCTCAATCCATTAAGAACAAAAGTTTCCAGAAGGTGCTTGACCAAAAAGGAACCCCCAAGCGACTGCAGGCAGAAGCAGAGACTGCTAAGGTAGGTGATTGTCCAGTGCCTTAAGGAGATGCTGAAGGGACAGCTCTGATGTTTTGTGGTAGAAGAACTGATGGTGCTTTTGCTAATTCCCATTGCCTCTTCAGTTAAACAAACACTGCGTCCTGATTTTTTATAGTAATAAATGAACATATTGACCACGTCCCCTTTGGGGTGAAATTGAAACACATTTGTGGTCAGTCTCGTAGCATGAGGCTCTGAGTATGGTATAGAATAGGCTGTAGAGAGGAATGCCTTGGACTTAAAGCTGAAAGATTTGTTTGCCAGGCTCCAATTTATCATTTGATGATGTTGGGCAAGGCACGTGACTTTGCAGGCCTTAGCGTCTTCATCGACAGCGTGGGTATTATAAAAGCTACCTCCCCCATCGGGCTGAGCCGATTAAATAATACTGTGCATGTAGAAATATTTTGTAAAAGGCCCAGTTGGCTGCATGAGTTTTGAGGGGCTTTGGCTGACAAACACTGTTAGTTAATAATAATAACTGGCATTTTATTAAATATATTCATGTATTCTAGGTACAGTGTGAAGGACTCTTGATGTCCTTATCGTGTCTCTGTAACAATTCTGTGAGGTACACAATAGTAAACAGGACCCTAATTAATGAAATATATCATTGTTTCATTTTGTTGAATACTGTGTTCTTTTTAGCCTTTATCCTGGATGTAGGTACAAAACACACATTGGTAGAGTGGGAGTTGGAGGCTAAATGATTCCTTGTAAGGACAACCTCTTTTAAAGGTTTCCCACAATGAAACTAGCACTATGTGCGTTTTTGTCTGAAATCAGTGAAGATGTTCATGTTGGGGGCACATTGTTGACAAGGGTCATATTAGCTTGCTTCTTAGAAACGGAGAGAACTGGTGTTCATCTGATACGTCATTTCTCCCCTGTTCATTTCCTGCAAAGGAATTCCCTTTCAAATGTTTGAGGGAATGAGTATGTGCATGCCTTAGAAAGCAAATGTCTCAGTCACCCAGGAAACCTTAAGTACAGACACACCTCGGAGATATTCTGGGTTTGGTTCCAGGCGGCTGCAATAAAGTGAGTCATCACCTTTTTGCTAGTGGAGGATCTCGCCTTCAGTCTGTGCTGGGAAAAAAAAATGAAAGCAACATCTGTGAAGCATGATGAAACGAGGCATGCCTGTAGACACTTTGCTGTCATGCAGGAACCACCTTCCTCCCCCTAAAAAATGTCTTCCAAAATCAAATGTGAATTTTTTTTTGTTTTATCTGCAGTTTTGAATAATTACCATTGTTGCTTCTCTTCTTTAGTGTAGATGAGTAAAAAGTGATGACTTTAAGTGTGTGTGTGTGTGTGTGTGTGTGTGTGTGTGTGTGTGTGTAGTAGGGAGTGGAGAATGATTAGCAAGGCAGCTATTGTAGATATTTTGCACTAGACATGTTGGCTCAGATAAATTGCACATCACTGGAAATTGGTTGACGATCATTGAAGTTTGGTTTGTGAGTAGAGCTGGGAATAAGAGAGCCCCATGTTGACATCTAAACCTCCTCAATCTCTGATGCCACCCAGGAATCTTGAATGAGTGAGGGGAAAAAAAGTCTTAATGGTCATCTTTAACTAGGAAGACAGAGATTTAGTAGGATCTTTTCAAAAGGCTGCTTAAACTACCAAAAATCAGAGTGGAGAAAAATAAAATGAATTATTGATAGCTGATTTTAATTCAAATTTGATGAAACATTTCCAGATTACCTCTTTTATTTCCAAAAACAGATGGGTGATATAAAAAGCCTGCTTCGCGTCTGATGTAGCTTTATCCTGAATCATTGGGAAAAATGTGACATTGTAGTAAATCCTGAATTTTCATGGCGGTAGCAGTTGCCTAAGCCTCTCCGTCACTTTCTATCTGCTTTGCTGAAAACCGACTTTATGGAGAACATAGTCATCTATAACAAGCATTTCCCCAGGAATAGACCACATTCATTTGAGTTCATCCAGGTTGTCTGCAATGAACCCCCCGAACAAGTGGGGTTGGAAGGAGATTCTAAGTGTTTTCACACTGATATCATGTTTAGGAGTGAACAGACTAGAAGCTTTACTAAAGCTTAGATAAAATATGTTCATTTCCTGGAGGATTGGCTGACAGCAGTGGTTGCTGGGGAGATAGAATCAAAAGTAAGTACCCAGTGTGATTCCTACAGACCTGTGGTATCCCATCCCCTGAAGTTTCTGTGCCACAGGCAACGTGAACTAGTTTTATGCATGGGCAAACATATTTCAGTGTTCTCTTCTGTTATATCTAGAGGGTTATTGGGGTTGTGCGTCATCTTCTTTGTTCTTGGGTAAATAATTGAATCTCTGGTAACTTGACCTACTCTGAACTTACCTGCAAAAAAAAAAAAAAAACCTGGCTAGAAATGCATGCATTTAAAATCACTCAATGATGTAAATTGGTACAGCTTTTCCATCAGCTAGTAGTTGTCAAAATTTTAAATGTGTGCAGTTTTTGAATCACTGATTTTCTCTTTTGTCCTAAGGAAATAATCACCCAGATGTGCAAAGATGGCTGCAGGAGAACAGTCACTCTGGCACTGTTGATAATGTGAAAACATTGCAAATAGCCTCAATGTCCTTTTGTAGGCCACTGGTTAAAGAAATGGTGTGTATTCATGCTGTGGAATAGAATTTTCCCATTATAAGGGTGAAGGAGACCTGTGTGTATTTATCTTAGTCTTTTCAGGCTGCTGTAACAAAATACCATAGGCCAGACAGCTTATAAGCAATAGAAATCTATTTCTTATAGTTCTGGAGCCTGGGAAGTTCAAGACCAAGGTGCAGCCTGTTCTTGAGCCTTATGAGGGCCTGCTTCCTGGTTCATAGATGGCCAGGCCATGTACCCATATATCCTCAAACTCTCTGGGGTCTCTTTTATAAGGGCACTAATTCCATTCATGAGGGCTCCACCCCGTAATACCATCACATTGGGGGTTATGCTTCAACATATGAATTTTAGGGGACACAGACATTCAGTCTACAGCAGTATTTATGTGGGAAAAGTAGTGTGATAATATTTTAAAGTGCGGAGAGGAGGAGAAGGACAGATTACTGCACAGTGTGTATAGCATGTTCCCATTTATGTAACAATGCCTTACTCTGTATAAGGGCCTCACCTAGTCTTGGAGGAGTTTACTCCACAATTTGAGCAATGGTTTATATCTGGAGTTGAAATTATGAGGCAAACTTTTTTTTGAAATATTTTTTTAAATTATTTTTTATTGTGAAATACACATTTTTTAGAATTAGTTTCAGCTGTACAACACAGTGCAATAGTTATACTTTTTACCCCTCGAGGTAACAACCCCCC